CCCTGCCACCTATGTTATTAGCTACTTCCCTATACGGAAGTTCGCTAAAAGTTGACTAACGGTACAGTTCAGGGTATCCACGGGCTTTTAGGTGTTATTGTGTCATAAGCCAATCATCGGTCTCAGGTAAGAGACACGACTCTCGGCTTTTAAAAGAATGATAATAATTCGGCACAACGGCAGTCGGCACCTGCTCCTAGAATTTCTATGTGTGTTTACTCACGTTGAGGTAGTCTAGCTCAAGCTACCTGAAAATCACTGCGAGTGTCAAGTGATAAAAGTATGACTTCGTCAAATACCACGGCTTTAAATACAAAAAAATACAAATTTTAATATATAGCTTACAATTTATAAACCTAACACGATTTTGTTTCTTATTTTTACACCGTTTAAACTGTCAAATATATTAGCAAATAAATAAACTTTGGTGGATTGAGTATGTTCGATTACAGCACCATCTAGCAGTTACTAGGTTAACTGTGTCGAGCCTCGATGGTAGAGACATCTAGCGGTGATTAGGCGAACTGTTGCGAGCCTCGACGGTCGTTACCAAGATGTATCGAGTAAAAGAGGTGGGCCAGACAGAGCGGACTGTGCGCGATGACGTCACTGCAGTCCCGGCCGCGGCTGCCACACCGCTAGATACATGCTAAACGCACAAACCTTACTTTTTCAGACACGATTTAAGCTGGTTTGGAGGAAGTCTTTCCCGTTATGACACAAATATCATTGTGTACTAAATAATGATTTTTATGATTTTGAACTAACATGAATTGTAAACAGTTTTACAATAGTAAATAACCAATTTGGCCTGTATGTTGCATAGAAAGCGATGAAATCTATTATAAAATAAATAAATTTGCAAAATTTAATCCAAATATATCCATAAACAATCAAACTACAATAGTTTACTTATTCTCCATAAGAATAACAATAATTTTCTCCGTAACCAATAATCATTAAAGGACAATTTAATATACTAAATTATCTGTTTTTTAAGCTCTTTAAAATGGTTTAGAGAGAAATATCCAAATTTTATGTTTTTACGATAGAAAATGAGAAAACCCAATTTTTCCCTCATAACAACCCCCATGGCCGTAGAACGATTGCCACACATTTTTATCCGATTTGGAATAGCACGACTGGCACAATCATTAGAGGGTATTAAGAAGGGTCAACCTGTGAGGTTCGGAAAGGCAATATTGGCACAACATACCGGTAAGGAAGTAGAAACCAGAGAAAATGGGAATTGTTTTGTCCTCACAAATTACCCGCTGTGGTGCTTATTGGAGTAAGCAAGGTGTAAGTTTGCGCGACAAATCTGCATCTACGGTCACTGCGCTAGCTGAATCCAAATAAAACTACACTACACTAACTTAACCTAACCTAAACTAACCTAACTTAACCTAACCTAACTTAACCTTTGAAATTACGCGATATTAGGCAAATGACTGTCGTAGCAAGTTGACGGGGAATTTTAAACTTCCCGTTTTCCCTCGCAAAGTTTTGCATTATTCTAAATCTATTACGTATATTTTGCACCACTTTAAAATTAAATACAGTGATAAAACTAATGTTCCTGAGGAGTTACCCAGCATTTCAGTCATAAAATCGGGACAGCAAAAAAATTTACAGGTTGACAATTTAGAAATATTTTATCCAGTCATTATAAAGCGAACTATTATACGTTGTGGATGTAAAAGGCAGAGCTAGGAATTATGAAAGCGGTTAGCTTGAGTTAATTAATGAATCCGAATTAATTAGTTGTAACTTTTTCATTTTTTGAAAGAAAATAAACATTTGAATAGAGTAAAGAGAATATGGTTAATAGCAAAGTAGCAAAGATCCAGTGATCGGGTGTTATAAGCCAATCATCGGTCTCAGGTATGAGACACGAATCTCGGCTTTTAAAATGATGTAAGTGAATAATCAATTTAACTAACGTTTATATGACGAAGTGAGGTACTCTAGCTCAAGCAACCCGAAAATCACTGCGAGTGTGAAGTGATGTAAATGTGTCTTTGTCCAATACCACGGCTTTAAATAGAAAAAAATGCAAATTTAAATATATAGCTTACAATTTATAAACCTAACCCAATATTGTTACTTATTTTTACAACGTTAGAAATGTCATATATGTTAATAAATAAATAAACTTGTGAGGATTGAGTATGATCGATTGCAGCACCATCTAGCAGTTACTAGCTTAACTGGGTCGAGCCTCGATGGTAGAGACATCTAGCGGTGATTAGGCGAACTGCTGCGAGCCTTTTATAACAACCATAAGAAACAACACCTTAGTGAGGGTGTTTGACAAAAAGTATTTTATTGCAAATTAACTGTAATTCGGTAGGTAGATTTGACTGGTATCTATACGTAGATTCGTTTCGATTACGTAGAGAAAAATCTGTGAAAATCGTATTAGGTAATGTTAATTTACGATAGCTATATATTAATAGGCAAGCATGTTTCTTTAAAACCTTTTTTTCTCAGCTCGTGTGTATCGCAGGAAGAATCTACGCATACTGTTAGAAATATATTTTCCTGTAGAATTGCTGAACCACTTTAAAAATTAAAATAGGCTCAAATATAAGCACAAAAAATGAATTTGCAATTTACTAAAAATAACATGGACTTGGGTTGCCATCCTGGTAACGAAATAACAGCGAAATATAAACAGAAAATCAAAACAAATGGAGAAATTACAACCACGTGTTTGCTGCGTCGGGTGAAAATAGGGAATCCTGTACCTTTGACTTACAACTAGACATTCCATCTACATGTTATAGTTGTTGCCAGTTTTTTATTAAATTCGTCGTAGTTGATTTGAGCGACCAACAGATTGTGCTGATCTAAATGACTAATTTCTGTCGAATAAACGATCTTTTTACCAACTCAAACATATGGAGAGATTATTATGAGCTATAGAAACTGTTGTGACCCATCAACTTTGTGAGAAAAAAAATCAGATGGAAAATATTATTTAAGACACGTATTCTGTGATTGGCTCACACAACTAAAAGTTTTTCAATAACAAAATTGCGACAGCTCATCCATATAGATGGAATGTCTACTTCAGTATCCTATAGTCAAGAGCTCATTACACATTTTTGGTCGAGTTTTCGACCACTGAACGACCACTAGTTTATTCAATTTAGTATATATATTTTAAAATAAATATTAAGAAAATAAATATAAATGAATAAATATAAAGTAATATAATAACATTCTTGTAAAATATTTAAATTATGACAGGTCATTACATTTATAATCTACCAAGAGCCATTATGAAAATTTTAAAGGTATTTAAGTAATCAGTTAAGCAAAATTATTAAGCAGACAGAGTGGCGAGCGCCTTCAAAATAGTGTAAATATACCGCATTAACTTTACAGTAGAACGGTAAAGATATATTAACCAGAAGGCGTCTGAAAATTTTATAAAACATTAAAATGTCTGTGAGTGTTCATCATTATTTTTTTGTCCTTTTAAATTTCGTATAAAAACATCAATTTGATGACAGTTATCGATTCCATTAGCTACATTTATTAGGACTTAATGTCATAAAACTAAATAAGAAAACTACAAACTATACAGGGTGATTGGTACTCAGTGTGACAAAACGTTTATGATGTAAGTACGAAGTAAATGAAGTTTGACGATGCACGTGAGAGGTTCCAAGTCTAAAAATTAGCTTCGCAGAGGAATTATTATAAATGTTTAGAAAAATAACTATATTAATATTTTAAACTTGATACAGCAATTTCTCAATTACCTGTAAATGGAATGGATTTGAGTACATAATGTAATCAGGTGTTATTGTGTTATAAGCCAATCATCGGTCTCAGGTAAGAGACACGACTCTCGGCTTTTAAAAGAATGTAAATGAACAACGGTTCACTCCATTACACCATTCAACAGGATTGTGATTGTACCCTACTCACACCGTCGTGAGGTAGTCTAGCTCAAGCTACCTAAAAATCACTGCGAGTGTCAAGTGATGAAAATGTGACTTTGTCAAATACTACGGCTTTAAATTAAAAAAATAAAACTTAAATGTATAGCCTACAATTTATAAACCTAATCCAATTTTGTTTATTATTTTTACACCGTTTGAACTGACAAAACTAATAGTAAATAAATAAACTTGAATGGATTGAGTATGTCCGACTGCAGTGCCATCTAGCAGTTACTAGGTTAACTGTGTCGAGCCTCGACGGTAGAGACATCTAGCGGTGTTTGAGCGAATTATTATCAAAACTAAAACATCATTGTAAATTAAATTACAAAAAAAAATAATAGAACGCACATGAAACATGCTTCAACTTTAATATAGGATGATAAATCAACTCGCCGAATCTAAAGTCAATGTTCGTACTAAGTTAGATTACCATGATTATTAAGCCTACTGTCTAGTGGTTTGCATACTAGGCAACAGGTAACTTGTTTACTGTTTTTGCTGTTCATACTAAAACAAAAATACAAGTACAATGTAATAGTTTAAAAAGTAAATCTAACGATTTATACAAATCATTTATATTTATATGTAGTAAGTACGGTTTATATTTTTCTAGAATTAGTTGGCCATTCAATACAATTTACATTTATTTCGCTATTCGCTTGCTATCCAAATCAAATACAGTACACACTTGCCCTAAGTAAGTACACACTAACAACGAAACTTTGCCCACTGTAAAGAAATACTTGAGAGTATTTTCTAATACACTATTGAGTCTAAACAATGGACTCTCAAACAATGGAAACTCACGTTCATGTAAACACGTCCATAAACATCTTAGTTTAAAAGTAGTAAATGTAAATGTTCAAAAACAATTTTGGAATGCCTCAATGCGTATGTTTTATGTTTATCAACAATGAAACAGCTGTTCGTGCAGCAGCTGTCGCGCACAGCTGATTGCCCCCCACCAAAACTCGTTCTACCAGGTTTCCATGGAGACCGCCGACAGTCAACTTGTCTTTCCTTGTGGTAGTGTTTTGTAGTCAGTGTTTGAAGTCTATACGTGTACGTTATCATAGCTGAAACTAAATAGTTATCAGGTAAGTTCTTGCCCATTAGTCCTAATCCCCTTTAATTACAAGTTTGCCAATTCGTTAGACGTCACATTTATCTATCTTCTATCTTTGTACTACGCAAAGACTTTTACAACTTTACCAAATTTAGGTGTGTTTTAATATGGTGGTATTTTTATTACCAGTTAAAACCATAACAATATTTTACAGACAGTTGATTTGGCTCCCGTTACTTATTGTACTCCATAATTTTTTAGTCCATATACGGTAATAAGTTAAAAGTTGAGTTCGATAAGTAGAATAAACTAAATAAACTTTATGACAATGCCTCATCTTCGAATAAACATTAGACCAACCTATTTATTATATGTCGCTATAGTAGCCATTGTAATATTTACGTGGACACTAAAGTAAAGTAAAAATCATGTTTTTTTAATGTATTTACTTCTAAGTAAACTAAACGACATTCAATTAATTTCGAGTTACAATAGTTAATGACAATGCCTTGATTTATTAATTTGATTTCAATTTGAAAATTTATTTTGTGCGTTTTAAAAGCTTGAGTTTTCTGTATAAATATCTTAATAAGTACCTAAGTAATGAAAATAATAAATAAGTAATGAAAAATCTTTAATGTGGGAAGTTTTTGCAAATTCTATTCATAATTCTAATATACAGTATTAACATTGGTAACTGCCAGTTTTTGCCATAGTTTTGAATGCGTTAACGTCAATATTGAACGATGGTTACAACATTTGCAGCATAAACCCTTTCTAGTTTTCTTTTTAATATAAAAAAAAATCTTTTTCATATTACCACTAAACCACAATAGGTTTATGCTCTACGAATTCACAATTATAATACCTACATAAGTATGTTGTTGAATGTGTTAATGATGTGTAACACATTGTATGTAATGTAAATATACTTCATTTTATAAACAAATTTTAGATAGAAGCTCTGGAATCCTTTTTATAATTGAAGAACAAATTTTATATTCAACACTGGTTTTGACACTGATTCTTTATTCAGTTACACAAACTCCAAACTCCTAGTTAGATGAATGCATTTCAGAGTAAGTGCAAAAGTTATGGCACAGAAGAACATTGGGTGAAATAATTAATACTGAAATAATGAAATAATTTTGCAGATTATTGTGTCTTTGCTCATTCCATGACTTCCATATACAAGAGTACGAAAGGAATGTTAGTGTTAGTGACGGACAAACCATTATCATCATAATTTTAAATACGACTGATATGATAATTCGTCCCAATTAGTGCTCTGTCCAGACCATGCTAATATTACCAATATGCCTTAATTGTACTTTTAAGTGGTATGAATAGTACTCTTAATATGTGCCTTTTAGCGGTTTGTAAGAATTTTGCCAAAGCGTATCCAGTTTTTTTTACCGTTTAAATTAGCTTAAACAGTAGTAGTGCCATTGTAGTGCTTAACACGTTCGCTACTGCAATAGTACGAAATTTTCCATTCACATGGACCAGCGACGCACATATGCGACGGCCGGTTTCCACCCATAGACTGCCGTCGCATATATGCGTCGGCTAGTCACATTAAAACAGACTGCCGACGCATATTTGCGTCGGGGTTCTAATGTTATTAAAATGCTTATATCTTTGTAGTGGTCTATTTGAAGGCACTGAATTCCCAGCAGTGGTCTACAGAGATGTCTGGTCTGACGCACAACTGCGTCGCTTGGTCTGTGGATATGATGATTGGTGACGTCATATAATAGTTGGAAAAACTGGTCTTTACTTCTCTGCATCACTGTATGTATTTATGCAGTATGTATGCTGCATTATCCTGTGTAGCTTTTATATTTGTTCAGTTATAAACTGTTCTTGAATAATCTGTTTATTTTTTTACTTACTTTCACTTTAAAACACAAAAAATGAACTGTCGCATATATGCGACGTTTGGTCTATTTTAATAAAACTATGATAATTTTCACTATTGTCTTCGCTGTAGACCGGGCGTCGCAAATATGCGACATTACAAAAGGTTATAAAAAATACAAAAAAAATAAGAATAATTTATTTACAAACACGATTGTAGCGTATTACAATGTAAATTATCACTGTTTTACAGGGTTTCACCCGTGGTCTGTGTGTACTGTTATCCAAGTGACAGCCGGTCTATGTGTAAGATTCAAATGTATACCTCGGTCTGTGGCAATGACCGCGGCGTCGCATATATGCGACGCTCAGTAGCGAACGTGTTAAGTCTACTCCTGTTAGTTAGCAAGATTAACTCTCATTTAATCCATTCCAAAATTAAATCAATCATCGGCATGAATTAAATTTTTATACCATTTGAATTAGTCCAGTCAATGACCATTTCCATATGTTCATCCTATAGTATCGATTTTGGATTTAGGTTAAATTGCCCTAGCCTGTGTCGGGGGCTGCTTTTACGCTGGCGCCCATCTCCTTCTTTGGGGTTGAGGAATTATTCATTGAAAATAAATTGCGAATCGAATCAATAAACTGACGCTAAAAATCTCTGTTCGCAGAAGATTTTCTGAAAGTCAATACTTTCGTCTTAAACGCGAGTAAAATTGAGGGTTTCTGGCAAACAACACGTTTTCAGACGGATTTTTGCATATAACTGGAAAAATATGCATTCAACAGAAATATTGTAGTGGGAATGATTAAAGCTTATAAAATACCCCCGCCTCAGCAGACCTGAAAAGCGAATTTACATTTTCCTGATTGCATTTTTAATTAAATCGATTAAAATGAAGTGTTTATAGTAAAATATTAGTAGCTTAGTATAAAATAAATACATTTGCGAAGTTTGATCAAGATATTTATAAACAAGCAAACTACAACAGTTTACTAATTCTCTGTAAGAATAACTTGAAAATGTTCAATTAAATTTGCAATAAAAAATAACTGCTAATTTACACATATTATCAAATGAAATTCCTTATCAGAATCTGTAGATAATTTATATGCAAGATTAAATCATCATTATATTCGCAGCCATTGCATAATATTATAACACAATTTCTATATTTAACTTTTCACAACCATAAATTATTAATCAACTCACTGTAATTTGAGATAAAAAGCTTATCTTATAGCTTAGTATCAATGAAGTGATAATCAATAGAGTAAAGTTTTGATTCATTGTGCTAAATCAAGACCATGAACTAGTGAACTCTGTTCAATGAAAGTCAGCTGTTTCGGGGACTGATCAGCTGATTACAACAATGTAGTGTGTATTTTGTTGTAACATGCCTCTTAAAATTTCTGTGATAAAAATTGAATAAATTATCCACACAGATTTACAATTATTATAAATACGCCCGTCGCAGCAAACCAGCAGACTAAGCAAATTTCCATTTGCCTGATTGGATTTACACTAAAATGCCTCCTTAAAAATATAACATTTATTCCATATTTAAATAGAATTAGTTTAAAGAGTACTTAGGTTTGCTGGATCAGGGAGGGTAAAAAAGTGTTTTTTGTTGTAAAATGTTAATAGTTTAGTAGGAAATTAATGTATTTTCCAAATTCAATTAAAATATGGATATAATCAAGCAAACTACAACATTTGACTTATTCTCCATAAAAATAACATGACAATTTTAAATTTATAATTTTTTTGAATTTTCTCCCTAACCATTAGGTTTACAATATCTACTACATATTTATCTCTTACTTCAAGGTACATTTTACAATTGATGCTTTATTTGTAGGTGACATACCAGAGGACACGTAATAGTTTTAATATTTATAAAATGTGACTCTGAATAAACCAAGCAAAACTACCTAAACCTTTTCTTAAACTGACCAATAAGAATGATAAATATGTAAAAGAGTTTGTTTATTCCATACCAAGATTGTGCGTTTCGAATTTTAATAGAAATTGTTATGTTTAACAATTAAAAGAGTACTGTATGTAACTATTAGAAAACTTGAAAACTATAACTAAGGATTTTCGTTTGAAAGACTTGACTTAATTTCCAACTATGATATTAAAAACAGGAACTTATAACATTGGATATGGTTAATGAAATCCAACTGCAAGGTGGTGTGTTCAATTCATGGAATAGATGGACCATCTAAAGACAATTTTAGTAAGTCTTGTCCGCTATAATATGCAAGGGTGGAGGGTTGTTTGCGATTTCTTATCTACAACTGCTAAACTATTCGAATAAAATAAATAAGCTATGTTTTTTTGTTGAAGTTTTTCTGTGTTTTTATACTACAGAGAAATTGCACTATTAAAATGTTTTCTAAATACCCCCGCCGCAGCAAACCTGCAGACTAAGCGAATTTCCATTTGACTGATTGGATTTACACTGAAATGTCTACTTAAAAATATAACATTTATTCCCGATTTAAATAGAATTAGTTTAACAAGTACTTAGGTTTGTTGCATCAGGGAGGGTAATTTTTTTTTTTTGTAAAATGTTAATAGTTAGTAAGAAATAAAAACATTTTCCAAATTTGATCAAAATATGTTCATAAACAAGCAAACTACAACAGTTTACTTATTCTCCATAAAAATAACATGGGAATTTTAAATTTACAATTTTTTGGAATTTTCTCTGTAACCATTAGGCGCATAATAACGCTTCAATATACTAAAATATTTGTTTTTTTAAGCTCTACAAAATGGTTTGGAAATAAATTGCAAAATTTTAAGTTTTTTGGGTCAAAAATGGGAAAAACCTATTTTTACCCCATAAAACCCCCCGTAAACACCCGTTCCCATGGTCCGATCAAGCTGGATCGCGAACTCGTTCGAATAAACGTAGGTTTACACGTTTGTACCAAATTTCATCAAAATCGGATCATTTTTGCTTGAGTTATCGTGCTGACGGACACATATATATATATATATATATAAATATATATATAAATATATATATATATATATATATGAATTTGAACGGATGGTGTTTTTGGCCTCTAGGGACCTCAAAACGAAAAAAAAAATTGGTCCCGCGTCCAGGTCTTACCATGAGTACTACGGTAATAGCTTATTCCCTATATGGGAAATTCGCTAATAAAAAAGAGAGCAACAGAATAGTATATTTTATTACTAGTACCGAAAGTGGAATTTTACTGTGCAACTCTTGTTTCCTGTGTGAGGCCCGAACTGTCCAAATTTCCACGCTATTTTCACGTACGTGGCGAAGCCGAGGACGTGAATAATTCGAGAAATTGACGTAAAATCACTTTCGGTACAAGTTTTGAACGATACTTTTCACCAAAAGGCAAAAATTCTAACATACAGAATGACCAACCTGAGTAAAACTTAGTCTCTTAAAAAAAACAAAAGGGTTATTATAGCAAACCTAAATAACAACGTAAGAATTATAAGTTTAAGTTTAAGATTATGTTCATTTTGCAGCGGCCTCGAACACGCACTAAAAGCTAAAACCACAGCAAAATTAGCTTGCATAATATTAATATTCACACAGTAAAAACAGCTGATTTTTTATATTTGTGATAAATTGTAAACAAACACTAGCATGCATAGTTGGCTTATGGAGTACTGATTGAAATCAAGGGAAAGTAAATTTAGAGCAAGGGAAAATCAGACCATCTTCTCCTCCTTGCCCTAAATTTAGGGTTTGGGAGCAATTATTGCTTTCTTTGAAATCAGCTGTTATTGTTTGTGTTCTGAAAAATAAAACAATGTGCCTTTTAAATATTCAAGTCCTTAATCTCTCTAAGGACAACAAGTCCTTGCTTTTCTGATAACGATATAGAGGGAACTTTACTGACCTTGCTACAAGTTGGTTTTTAGTTTTCCAATTAACTTCCACGTCTATAGACTACAACGGTTTTACAAATACGCTGAGAAACATTTTGTCCTTCAGTAAATAACTTAGTAAATACTACTCAATAACCATTAAGGTTGAAATATTGAGAGTTAATTTAGTTTTGAGTACATACTCAAATAAATTCGTAACATTTTGCACCTACAAACATAACGATAGGTCTTGAAAGTCAGTATTTTTTAATCGGGCCCATCTTTTAATAAAGGTTATAATGAATGATCTTTGACAAACAAACAGCTGATTTTAGTCAGAAACGAAGCTATACGGATCATTCACCATCCTACCAGCATCACTCCAGTCTGCTCTCATAACCAGCTTAAAATACGTATACGTACATCACTTCTGAATAAAGTGAAGAATACACTACAAAGCAATTATTTTAATTCATACGGATTAGTTTAAAACCCGTCCTCACTCTATCACTCTACAAGTAAGGAGTTATGTTCTAAAACTTGTAATTATAATAATATCCCAAATTACCAAGTTGTACTATATCAGCAAGGTAATTCAAGACTGGCAGCTTTGCACTACATACAGTAATTACTCGGCCGTTGCTGTGCTCAGCGGTGTGCACATGTGCGTTGCATAATTTGCACACAGCGCGTTTTGCACAGCCTTCTGAACACTGAACTGGAAGGAGAAAGTTGTGATCTAGATAACAGTGTGTTTAACCTTTTTAACCAACATGTATATTGTCTGGGTAGCCGAGTGCTCGCCTTCAAATAGGATAAATTCTTTACCTACGGCTATTACTGTAGTTATGTTCTTTCTAAAAAAGAATAGTTTGTGTAGTTTTTTTGGCAAGGTTTTGGACCGTTCCCTCACATAAAAGCAAAAGATTAAATTGTGTAGGAAATAAAAATATATGTGAATGATATCAGTTTTCATTATCGATTACGCACATTGGTAATATCAACTTATTTATTTATTGGATTCCCATCAATTTATCCACTTATTTACGTTCCACTAACAGCGCTGCCTAACAACGGTACAAACAGACCTGTACTTGAATAATAATTCCCACTGTAAATTTTGTGGTAATATATTTTTAAAAATATTTGAAAGAAACTGAAAGTATTGTACAATTAATAATGCAAACTGAATATATATTTTGGCAATAAACTCTAATGACAAAAAGTGTACATTGATGAATTCCTTATAATAACCTGTTTTTATAAATAAGGTTAGTGAAAAAAGGGCATCTGTCCAACTAATTTATCCATAGCAAATACCCGATCATAAACAACTATAAATCATACATCTCAAATAAAATCAATAAAATTTTGTGGTGTTCATCAATATCATTACAGTCTTCATATAATCCTTGATAATTTGGCATTTTTAGTAAATTATTATGACTGAAGAAACCACTGATCTTAGTCTGTAGCAATGCTACACAAGGCACCTCATTTCATTCTACATTCAACTTTTGCTCATGTTTATGTTTTGTGGACCTATAGTTGCTTTCCCCATCTTACTTTGTGGAAAATATAAATAATAATAATAATAATCCACCTGAGACAGTCACTCACAAAATCCAGTTGAATTTTAGCTTTATCTCTCCTCTACACTCAACGTGGCCCATCAGCTGTTTGATATTTTATTCACAGTTGCTTCTTGCTCCATGATAACTCAATTGTTTCTGGCCAATTCACAGTCCTGGCAAAAGAGACAGACTTCGGGTCACTCACCTCTGGACCTCCTCTTGGCACAGCTCCATTTTCAGACACATTGTACACCTTTAGTTTTCATCATTGACCAGCAACATGAACGTTTAGTCACAGAGAAATAATATCTCTTTTCTGAAATTTAATCTTTTTCGTCTGTGGTTTAATCCTGGACTATTTTAAGTCCAGGTTTTACACTAAGGGAATAAAACGCTTTTTATGGGGGGGGGGTCAGGGTTAGCATGAATTCATTTTTAAAACTTGTGAAAAGTGCAATTGTTTATTACTTTACTTATTCATGATTTGGTAACGCAATTTTAAAATCAAAAGGCTACAGTATATTCGAGAGTGGCGAATAAAATAATTTGAGCAATAAGCCTACAGTTACAGTAAAACAGTTTATAAACATTTCAATATTAGCAATATTTTAGTACAGTAGCCTATATTATAAGATAAAAACATTATACAAAATCTAAAAAAATATTTTTAATTTGTTATGATTTGTATAGTAGACTTACTCATATTTAAACACTATTTTACTACACTCCACTCGCTGAAGTGACATCCCTTTACCTTGCAATTTTATCAGCACATGGGTTTAACCCAATTTAATCGGCAGTAAGTGGGTGGTACTGAAACGACTTTTCTCATGGACCCATGGAAAAGATTTTAGAACATTGATCATGAGTCTATTTTTAATATTTGTTTGTACCGTATATTCGTTATTGTCTTATTTAGTATGCACTAGTTTGTCCTAACTTAAAGAGTTTAAGGGAATGATAATGGAAAACCTATCCCAAATGGCCTCGGTCCCAAGGAGTCCAAATAAGGGGGAGTATACTGTACTATAATTGGTTTTGAATGTGATTAGCTTTTTGGTTACAGTTACAGTAAACATTCTATTGGCAGGAAATAAACCCACATTTATTGGTAGCTTATTCCTCTACATTCTTTGCGGTCAGTATCCAATGTTATTGATGTTGAATACAATTACTGACAAAGAAAAATTCTATGAGTATTTATTTAATCGCATATGGTTAAGTATTCTTATGAAGTGAAATATCATATTACCTACAGATAAGTTAAAGCTAATTTTGTTCCATCGTAAAACAAGTTCAATATTACACAGACAAAATACAGTAATATAACATACTGATAAAAGGCGTAGTACATGCAAAAAATAGAATACTGTAAAACTTATTTTCATCTTTACACTTTGTAACGAAGCTAACACAATTCTAGCCGGGAAGCTGAATGCTCAGCTAATCTGTATTTCTGAATAGAGCTAATGACATCAGACTTACACAAGCTAATATACCCTTACAGCTTTGACTTCTAGACACTTTAAAATTTTAACGTTAAATAATATCGTACAACAATAAAACAAATATTTTCCCATAAATTTCACTGTCTTAAACGTTGTCATATCCACAATCTTTATTATATTTTGGAACATTTTCTTAGTTACTATTTTGTGTTTATTCCAACATCAAGCATTTATTACGTTTATTGTAAGGGAAGGTCCAAACCTTTGTCTTTTTACTATCTAACGTCAAGGGAGCTAGCTGGTAGAGTGTGGGACTTCGGTCACTGAGATCCTGGGTTCAAATCCCCCCAAATCACCAACGGATAATGCCGCAATCCCTGGGTCTAGCCTGAGTTAATGTGGAAAGCGATCCTGGGCTAGATCCTAGTGTCCTGGGGAAAATTTATCTAACGTCGACCGTTTATCCACAGTTCAGTTTCATGACAAATGGCATCTCTAGGTCCAGAATCGATCTCGCTTCAATGTAACCACTACCCAAAGGACTATTTGGTATACAATGACTTTTATAATCTAAATGTGTGTGTGTTGCTTGTCTCAGGTGTATGATGGAGTGGGGCCAGTACCAGGCTAGTGCCAGTGTCATGATGGCCCTGCTCAAGATGCCAGCAGCCTGGCTACAGCTGTCCTTATTGTATCTGGCACCTACTGTCAACTTTCAGTGTGCTCAGCCTGTGAACAAGGTGAGGGAGTAAGGAAGTCTGGATTTTGTTTTTCAAACTATATTGGTTGAGCATCATTGAATTACCGGAAATTCTTGTATTTATTACTGCAATTCCTTTCAACGGTGTTCTTACGAGGTGCAAAATTATTGCCTCTTTCAAGATCGCTATACACTTGTTCCCTAGTGTAACTAATTGAATAAAAACTTCAGTCGTACGTATAACTTAATCGGGTAACGGTTACCTATTGGCAAAGGCTACATGAGTCTTACCAGTACATTTTCACAGGTTAGATGAAAAACTATTGGCTTGGATTTGATTTTTAGAAATAACTAAATAATAACAAGAAAATTGTTTTACTAAATTGTCTTCCTTTTATTTAGTTTTTGAAAGTTGAGTCTGGTCTCTTGCTAGGGACATTTTGGATTTAGTATGATTAGTGATGGATACCATACTCTAAATAAAAGTACCATAGTAGCAATTTCACATTTGACTAAACAATTTAAATGCAAGTTTTCTCTGAAGGTCAACAAATTAAATTGGTAAAACCCTAAACAATTAATCAAATTCAATGTCAACTGATCAGCGGGAAGAGGCAAAGTTAAACTTTGCTCTCTCAATTGTTGATTCGTATTTCCAATGAAGGCTTGTTAACAGTTGCCTTGATATGAGTGCAGCCAACAAGCGCCATTCAAAATCTGACTGACAGTGATTTTGTTGTTGTTGCCATTTCAATTAAAGTATATTAAAGTATTTTTATACAAATTCCGGACAAAAACAAATTAGATCAAAAATAACCAAAAAGTACACAACGCTTTTGACTTATTTTACCCTCCAAACAAAGTTAAATTACTCTTAGCCTATTTTGAAAGCTTTGCTTCAATTAACTCTTTTGAACATTCTACCTTCTTTTCCTCAAAATCTAACATTTAATGGTCAGAATATACTTCATTCTTCTTTTAACTTATTATGCAAATTTTAATAAAACTGTTCTGCATTCTGTTTCATTGATTTAGTGTTTCACGTTTTTGTTCCAGAGTTTCCCCTCCTCCAACATCACGCAGGAAGAGCTGGTGTTTGATAACTCCTGCTGCTTCAAAGATGAAGAAGATCAACTTCAGTTTTGCCAACAGTTCCACTATGACAGGAGAGATTTCACAAACACTGTCAACATGATGGTAAGCTACCAACTATTGTCCTTTTTAGATAGATTACTATAACAAGGCAAGTTGAATGGTCTACTGAAGTAATTTCAAGTATATGGTGGTAAGGTTCAGTACTCAAGTAATTACTCCACTCATGCTGGTGGCGACGAAGCAATGTTTCTAGGCTGGGCCGTTGTTACTTAACCACCTTTTGGGAGGGTTTTATCATAGGATGAAGAGGGTGTATGGTATATATAATGTGTATGGTATGGTATAATTCTGGAAGTCAAGCCATGGACGGGGTAGGATCCATTAGAATTCCAGATGTTACAAATGTCTGATATACACAACAATTACATTAATGGTTTCGAACATTAATCAATAAAACAATAATAAATCCATGAAGGTAATGTAATCATAATATTCTGATTTCTTTCATTTAAACTGTTAAATTCGTTGTTGACTACTAAATTATTATTTATAGATTATCATCACGATTGTCGATTTGTGTTTTGGTAAAAACTATTCATCATTTGATTAATTATATACAATCCAAAACAGCATGTTCAGATAAGTAATTAGAATGCTCTATGTGTCTTAATCAGTCACTGTCCCTGCCAACCTATCTGTCTATCCAACCCTGTAAACTCAATTACTGATTGATTGACATTTTCAGTGGGACCTAGTCTGTGAAAGAGAGTTTCTAGTGACATTTGCGCAAGTTTCATTTATGTGTGGAGTCACTGGCGGAAACATTCTGGGAGGATTAGCGGCTGCCAGGTAGTTAAGCCATTGATTATAAACTTTTAGAACAAATTGATTACAAACCAAAAGTTAAACACTGTTAACATTGTTCATTTTTAATTCTTTTCATCGTAATGATAACACACATTATCAAATCTATGTTTCAATTGACAGTGTTACACAAATTCGACCAGCAGAGCGTGATAATAGTTGCAGATTACAGAGGAGGCACGGATTGACTGTTGAAAGATTTGGCAGTAATTCCGGTGAAGATGGAATTTAGGTGAGTCGGTGGCTCAGTTGGTAGCGTCAGGGACTTCAGGCCCAAGGCAGTGGAGTGATGTCGTGGGTTCGGATCCTGGTCACTGCCACAAACACTTTATCCGTACAGTTCACCTTTGTACTGTACCGGCTCACCCTTTGCTTTGCTGGATACCTTCTACCCACAGATCTGTAGTCTATGTGGACAGGCAAATGCAAGGTTAAAAGAGGCCGCCAAACTCTTAAAAAAAATCAAGAGGGCTTTTTTTAGAACAAGCCCTCTTTAATAATATACACATTACAGTACCAAAACACCTGAAATGAAGTAGTGGTGTACACATGTACGACTACGGTAACCAAAACCTAATACATCATAACTTGTAGACAAGTTATTGTTTTATGAGACCATGAGATGATGCCAGTTGTGTCAGCCAGGGTAGGGCGCAAACCTGTGCTCGTGGTGGCACTACTGCTGATGCCGCTGTTGAGTGCCGTAGTGGCAGTAGTACCAACATTCCCACTGTTCCTCCTCTTCAGGTTCCTCCTCGGCTTGGCACTTGGAGGAACCATATTCATCAGCTTCATTCTTGGTGAGATAAATATCGATTTCACAAGTATACACTTTTTCTTTTAATGTTTTTCTCGTAAAAAAGTTTTCACCTTTTTGAAATTTAGTCATTACTTAATGCTCAAAACATAGTAGGTACCGTATTTGATTGATATTTTATAGTAAGCTCAAGAGGTTATCGCAGACATTTTTCATTAAGATCAGTAAAAAAGAAGTGTTTACAATGTTTTGAGATGTGGAATATGTTTATGTCCTTAGGGGAGATACTACCTAAAACATAACAAGATTAGTTAACAATTCAAATGGTGGAAAATCACAGTTAAAGCCACACACAAAACTAAAAATTACCAAAATATGGACATCATAATCAAAGATATAATTCCAATAGCACAATAGCTTGGAATCATTTTTATCTTAAAATATGGCATTGTTATATTATATGTAAGTGCATCAGTCTTAGCTTAAGGATTGTGAAAGCCCAAAAGTAACAAAAACAGTAGATAACTTATTATATTTTCTATTTTAGGCAATGAGCTGGCAAGTGGGCCCTGGCGCGCCCCAATTTCTATTCTTCATCAGGTACCATTTGGTATTGGTAAAATCATCTTCGGTCTAACTGCATACTTCCTGCGAGACTGGAGAGAAATACAGATGGCGCTGGCTGTCTACAGTCTTATCTTCTTGCCTTACTGCTGGTCAATATCAATTTAGTAACCGTCTGATAATTTTGTTAGAATTAATTACCATTTTCAATTCCATAATTTTTCTAACATAGATGTTAAAACTATGCTGTAGCTAAAATTTCACGTCTGACATTATTGCCAAATTGGAGGAACTTGCAACTCAAACTAATTTTTTTTAAACTCATTTTCTCAATTCAAGAGTATGCACTCTACTTGATTTTAAAATATTAGATTTAAGTTTAGAAAACAAAATATTTGGTGATCAGGAGTAAAGGAGTAAGAGAATTGCAGTTACACGTAAGTATAAATGTGTAAGGTGTTGTACTGATAAAAAGATAAAAAATCTAGAGCTTAAAACAGAGTAATTTAGTTCTAACTTTTACCCTCTTATATTTTTACACGCTTACAACAACAATGCATATAAGTATAATTCAAAGGTTGATTCAACAGGTTAATAGAAGAGTCGCCTCAATGGTTGATGAGCAAAGGAAAGCTTAAGAGAGCCGAGCGAGTCACGACTGCCATCCATCGAAGGAACGGACTTCCAGCCATCCAGACGGAGATGCAACCTATGGCTGAGAAACAGAAAGTTGAGGTAACTAAGTATTACATTGGAACCTCAATAACAAGACCCTGGATAACAAGTTGCCCTTTATACCAAGAGTCATTTTCAAATACCATTGTTATTTCTAACCTCAATAAGAAGTCATCCTTGATGAAAAAAGCCTTATTCCATAATCACCATTAGAGACTTGTTATCAAGGTTCAACTGTACAATATTATACATAAAATAATATTTTATACTTTAAATTCACCTTCTTTTCATCCTAATAGTAACATCTTAGGGAATTTTCTGATGGATTCATTTCTAATGAACATCTGCTTAACAAAATTGTTCCAAAGATTTTTTTAAGTAAAATATTGTTGAATTTTGTGTATTTGCTGTTAGGTGCTTCCATTCAAACACAACATGAATAAAAGTAAATTGTGATTTTATAGCATTTAACGATTGCTTGAGAGTAGATACTTGTAAGAAATAATTTAAATGTTTCCGTCGATGCTGGGATTAACCAAACTGCTGGAGTTTTACGCTGCCAACTCTGTACAAGTGATTTGTTTGAGTAAAAACTGTATTTTGCTATTTTAAACCCTGTACATTTATTATTGGTCAATCCAAACTTCAACAAAGTTCTCTTTATATGAGTTCTAGTATTGACCTCTTACTGAATTTGACATCCCACCTATGTCCAACTGCAACCAATTATTCTGAAAGTTACAAACCATAATTGATAAATAAGATTGACTGGGACGGGTGGCGTCGTCCTGTAATCCAGCTACTATAGGAGGTCACGGATTGTGGATATTTATAGGCATGCACTGTGGATGAGATACTCCCTGGTGTGGATTAACGTCCGCACTAGTGAGTATTACGACTATCCGCAGTACTATCCTGATAAATAGACCAATTCGTATATACCAAGGAAAAAATGTGGTTCGGATTCCACTATAAAAACTGTAGGTCCCTTAGTTGCCATTAGCTGTTTGGGCTATTAATTAACAGCTGTGTCTAAGGAATGTCGGCCTTAGTCACTAACAAGACTACAAGATCGCGCCACTCATCCTACACTCATCTCCATTCATACTTGGCTTAAAATACCTACATTGTATGGTCGCCATTTCATAAGAAAGTATAAAGTATAAAGCATATTCTACCATATTCTTTAATAGTTCTTGAAAGTACTACGAAAATATAAGCGATGCAATAGCTCATAATTGCCCCTTAAGTTTGGCGTTTGGCATGGTTTTACAGTTTTTGTATAAGCTAGAAACTAATGTTTGTGCATAACACTCAATATCAGGCGTAATTGAACTATTTATTTTCATCCCATACCACTGTGATACACTGCTCATCATACACTTGTATACATGAATGGAATGTCTAATCACCTTCTGGAGTTCATAGTCAAATAAGGTTATAGATTTGGTTTTTTTATGTGGAAATAACAAAATCTTTAAAAAGGCTTTATACGATGGATTACCGTACTTTCAGATTGTCAGAACTGAACCCACCAAAGTAGCCAACAGCTGCAGAATAAAGGAGACAAAAACACTCAGTCTGTGTGGAGCATTGTGTGTTCCTAGACTGAGACGATACGTTCTCTCGACCTGGATCACTTGGTAAGCTGCACTCCATTGTCAAAAAAAAGATTTTGGACAAAGTTGTCGGGCATTTTGAAAGAACACGTTTTAAGACTCAAAATCAGAATTTTTTGGATCAGATAAATGAAAAAAACTTTCTAAACTTAAGTCTGTTTTTCATCCAACACCGTTTTTTTGGTGATAGTTTATATTTTATATGAATCATGTCCTTACATTATTTTGTGAGAAAGAGAGTGAACATGAACTGCTTTAGGAATGTGATCTATCCAAAGGGCTGCTTTTACAAATGGCTGGAAGAGGTTTCAGGTTTGTTGAGGGCGCAAGAAAGATCAAAATTTCCCTACTAGGTAGGGGAAGAGTAGAGCAATTATCTCACGGACCCATAGCGCATCACATCAAACCACAGGTCTGACCACACAGTTGACTGTCACTTACCAATAGCACAGAGAAGTATGGTACAGAAAAAAACATTCAATGGTAGACTAAAGTGGTGTCTAGGGTGTCCAACAAAACCCACCCACACCCAGGCCCGTCCCTAGGGTTGGCGGCGCCCGGAGCAAACGTGGTTGTGGCGCCCCTCCCCACCAGTAATAGTCAGTCGCATTCGCATATTTTAATACTATGTTAATACAAATAGCCGCCGGGGCAGCTTGCCGCGGTTGCCCCCCCCCCCTCGGACAGCCCTGCCCACACCATCATGTACTGCAACGCTCATGGCGGAGAAAGACACTGTGTCCTGTGTGTTAGGAATTTCCACAGAGTTGAAATGAAATGAAATGATAATCCTTCTTTATTGAGGCAAACTTAGGACCTCATGGTCCTTTCTTACAGTTAATCTCTAAAAAACGAATGATAACAACAAAATATTAACAAAAAATACAACACAGTTTGTAACAAAACAAGTTATAAAATATCATAATTAATTTAATCTTCATTAACATACATTCACACACACACGTACACCCTCTGCTGCATCTAGGCCTAACGCACGCCATCCCGCCAAGCCACAGCTATCCGGTCAGGGTAATATCCTTTCAGCGTCACCATCAGTAGGGATCGGTTTTCTATGGATTTAATGTGAAAAGGTATGGAGTTCATAGGGGGCATGCTGTTACTAAAAATGATTTGTTATAAACAATTGTTCTGTGGAGGAATGTGAAGTGTGGACGAGCCAGAGCGGGTATCCCTTGCGAGTTCTCACTGTTCTGGCTCTCTTGATCGTCACAAGAAGAGCCGGCTTTAGTGACAAGCGAAAGGTGCGGCCGCCCAGGGCCCAGCTCTTGGTGCAAAGTAAAAATTTTTTTTTAATATTGTGAATTTTACGTCAGTTATGAATAAAAGAAAAAGGGGAGTAAGGGGCTCTGAATGTTTACACTGGGCCCAGCCCCATTCAAGGCTGGTCAAAATAAGTATGTTTCAGGCACAACAAAAGCTTAAAGCATGGTCGTCCTATAAGTGTTTTCCTCTGTATCTTGCTTCTCTGTTCCACAAGCAATGATAACAGGTGTAGAGAGGGTTGACTTATAACTGTCGTTACTGGATATTGGATTACTCACAAGTCACAATCTTTGTTAGTTTAGTGTTTTGTTGCTGTTTTGTATCAGGTTTTGACATGTTGCAATCTCTGACAATGTTGACAAAATTGGTTGTTGAATAGATTTAGACTACAGACAGAGGCAAGGAAGGAATCATATTTATTATGAGCATTTAAGTAGCGAAATTCCTGATTTTGGGGTGCAAATTACAAATTATCCACCCATCCTCTCAACGTCCACCAGAGATGTCTATTTTTTAGGGTCACCCCTTCCTTTCAATTTTACCACAGAGGTACTTCAATCCATTTATAGTCATTAGTTCAAACATATCCTAGAAGAGATTCAATCCCTCAATTAGGGTCGCCTTAGTAAATGGACCCGGGGCACAAGGAGATTTATAGGTTTCTTGGGGACGCAAGAGAGTGATAAATTTTCCTACAAGGAAGGGGAAGAGGGAATCTCTCAGGCCCATAGACCGTCACATCAAGCTGCGGGCCTGCCCTCAATATTTGGCGCTGTCTCCTGCCTGGAGAGACGATCAGACCCCTCCGCCATTAATCAGACCTAAAAGTCTTCTGAACTAAAAACACTGGTCAACCAAAAGCCCAAGTGCAGGAGTTATAAACTTGACTTTTACTCCCAGATTGCAGCACATACCAAGTATATCGTCAGTCGTTTCAGTTAAGTTATGTTGGAATAGAGTTGTAAGTTACAGTTTGGTTGTCTCTTTTAGTTTGGTTGCCTTGGTTATGGTCAACTTCCATAAGTTGCTACCTACATCTTTTTTGAGATTGGTCTAATGCGGAGAACATCAGTAAAGCATCTTGGAAATTCTTAAGATCAATTGACAAACTTCCAAATAATAACTTATTTTCACTATGGTGGTACCTAATTTACTTTGAGGCGGGTTCAGATTTCCGGTTGGATTCAGAATATTTTCTTTTAATTTAGGAGCAAACAGAATATCTTTTATATATAAAGCTAACATTTTTTTCAACTTATACAAATGAGATTGTCCAAAATGAGGCACTATCCGTTAAGCTACCAGCACTCGCACCGAAATCAATACTTTTTTTCAGTTTTAGTACTGTTTATTTTGGCACATATTGTGTACTTGTTGCATTGTTATCCTAAAAGATTCTAGCCTAGGTGTTATGACAATAATTATATGTGTATAAAGCTTCATGTGCAATGTTACAGGTACTTGGCAGGGTTGAGTTTCTTCGCCCTCAACGCCAACATGCCGCAATGGGGAGGAGGGGTGGTGGGGGGAACTATCAACATCGCTATTGGGGGTGAGATTGAAAAACAAAACTGTGATTTTTGCATTATTATAAATTTTTATATGACATCATGCTATCATTTCATTTTAGGGGAGCGAGCTGGTCTAGTGGTTAGAGCGCCAAATCCCGCCAAATCACCAACACCAATGGATTTAATCTAAGTGATAGTGCCACAACCGCCTGAAGTAATCAGGGCATAAAATAACATGTTAACTGGGAGACATAAAGTGTCGCCAAGTGCTGAGATTTTGTCACCCAGTGACTATGGGTGGTGCCGGCATATTTTTTTCATGATTCACATTTTAAATGTATCGGAATTAAAAAAAATTACATTATGTAAACATTTTAAAGTATTGAGCTATGATTTTGGGCAAGAGGTTGTGAAGCCTTGGCCTGTTACAATGTTCTAGAATACGTAATTAAGTGAGATTATATGGACTATTTACAAGCAAATTTAATTGAAAAATTCATTAAAAGATACGTAGAAATGTGTGATTTTCACTTTAACTTATGCAAAAATTTTCATGGGGGGGTACTCCATACCCCCCAGACACCCCGGTTAGTCCGGCGCCACTGTCGCCCAGTGGAAATCCCTTAATATATGCTCTGGAAGTAATATGAAAAACAATTCCTGGCTTGTGCCTAGCGTCCTAGGACAAAAACACCATGTCACATTAACGGTTTTGGTTTAAATATATAATCTAAATCTAAATGTGATAAACTACTGCAGTTAATTTGTTAAAATAAACTACATGCTCAATCCATGAAATTGTTTGGTATACTGTATGTAACATATTAAAATTTTCTAAAACAACTTTAAATTTTGAAATCAAACTTAAAACTGATAAACAGACAGTTTTACCATTTTTAATAAATGCGTGGGTATGGCCATGCGGCATTTTTCAAGCGCTGGGCAGCTACTCGCAGAAGCCCACTAGAGTAGATGGGTGATCGTAAAAATATAATTCGTTAAACGTCAATGCTTGTCGTGTAGATGAATGGTACCTATATCCGCCACAAACAAACTGCTTGAAAAATTATGAGTATGTGGGAACATTTTCTTATAGTCAACAAATAACAACACATTTATCTCACCATTAGCCAAAAACATTCTCTAGCTTTAAGAATGGCTAATAATTTAAGAAATTAATGAAATGTTTTCATTATCAGTACTCAACATTTTTTTATGATGAGTAACCAGTATTATTTGGACATTTTTATCTTTTTAAAATTTATAATGTCCATTGTTTTTGTTTTGCAGGTCTTATTGGTGGCATTCCTGGGAACATTGCGACAATATTTCTTGTCAGAAGATTTGGAAGAAAGAAAGTTACCATTGTAGCTCACATTTTTGCAGCTCTTTTCTCATTTCTTTTACCTATTTATGATATTGGTAGGTATACTTAAAACTTGTGCTTCATACTTTGCATGAAAGGTATTTTTATTGAACAGTAAGTTACATACTGTGCCAGGGAGTTTTGATGGGTTAACTGAAAGAAAAAATTGGCTTGGCGATTAAAAGCTCTTGAAGAATTTTGTAAATCTTTTCTTCTAGATCACCAATACTATGAACAAAATAATTAAGTAAAAGTAATGTTTTTCAACAGACTCAATCTTAACACTCTATCTTTTCAACATAATTTTATCATAACTTTCTATTATTATGATTTCTTAAGTTTAGTGAAATTTGGTAAGAAACATCTCAAAGGACTTTAGAAAATTGATAAAAAAGGTACATTAATAAATTCAAAACTCTCAAATAATCTACTGCCTTTGACTACCAATAAAACAAAACATTCCATTCTCATATAACATTTATTACCAGTTTTAAGTGTACGTAGTTGAATTGAGCCTTTGACTGTGTATGTAAATTTAGTGATTTCCATCTAATACGCCAACATTATTCTAACCTATCCAAACATATAGGATAACTTATAATTTACTACCGAATAGCATCTTTTATGTTTTATGACACATTAACTATCAGTAAACAAATATTCAGTACCGGTAAGCAAAACTAGTCAGGAAATAAAAATTCATACAACAGCACAGTTAAATTACTTACCTACCTATTTAAATGTGTTCTTTTTGAGTAAAAAGCTATACAGATGGGTTTTGTCAACTTCAATATCCAAAATTCAATACTCCTTCTGAATTAAACAAATGGTTTTGTGTTCAGGAGAACAACCAGAGGATTGGCAGCGACGAGTCACGGGTTTCCTCTCCCTCATCGCAATGTCTGTGGCTTATCCATCACTGTTTCTCATGTCCGGTGAACTCATCCCCGATGAGGTTAAGCTGCCTGTGATGACTGTTGCCAACATCATGGCCAGGCTGGGCAACACGACAGCACCACTTGTTGGACCCACGGTAAACTATGCAGCCAGACGTAAATATACTTTTACTCAAACCTACAGACAATGATCAATTTACAGACAACAGCTTTACACTCACATCAGCTTGAGCTGATAAGGTGAAAGTACGATTGTATGCGTAAACGTTGTGTGCATGTATGTATAGAGATGCTCGAAATAAATTTTCTAAGCATAAAAAGCACTTTGGTTGTTGAAACTTCTATTGGTCTGTCAGCCACCACAATCTCTCAGTCCTCCAGGGTAACTTTTAATCGTAACATAAACATTTTTTGGTCTCTAACTTTAATGACTCTCTTTCACCTACAGGCTACAGGAATAAATTCTATGGTACAGTAGACTCCCTCTTATCTGGACTCATTCAGACCAAGGCCGGTCCGGATAACCAACGTCCCCTAAAACCAGGGATTCACTCAAAAACTAACTCAAATAATTTACATACGGTACTTAAATTTGGGAGAGCATTGTATTTAGAAACGTGATCACTGGACCCAAAAATCTGTCCCACGAGAAAAGTCGTTTCTTCGCCCTCTTCCTGCTGCTCCAGTTAAACCGATATGCTGATAGAGATTTTCTGATTAAAGAAAAGTCACTACTGTCGAGTGTGTAGTATAGTTCTAATCTGGTTAAAAGGTGTCCATATAAGAGTGAGTTTAAAACCATTATATCTATCTTGGATGATTTGAATAGCTTTTGTTTCAGTCTGTGTTCCATAGAGCTTTACCACTGTGGATCATAGGCACGGCTCCTATAATCTCCTCATCTCTACTGGTATGGCTGCCAGAGACCAAGAATAAACCAATGCCTAAGACTGTAAAAGACATCCTTACATCCAAGAGGTAAAATTCAAAGACTCATTTACTGTATGGAAATAAAAGTATAAGTTAAAATTTAAGTTTTAAAAGTTAAGTACAAGACCAGCTCTAATATGGATCAGAAACTTGGACTCTGAAAATAAAAACAGTAGAGATGATAGATTGATATATATCGTATTTGAAGATAAAATATTGAGAAAAGTATAAAAATTGGATGGACAATGGAGGTTGAATCACAATTAATTGGGAAATGATGGATTTATTTGAAGATCCAGATATTGTAGTCAAGGTATTCAGGTAAGGTTTAGAAGGATGAGATGGGTAAGATATGAGTCATATACAATTTTTTTTTTATTACGTAAATTAAAGTCTTCATTAGTATTCTGTTACAGGCAAAAAAAGCTATTTGAAATCTAACGTCATGATCTTTACTTCACCCATTCGTTTTTCAGTTGGTTCCTACATCTATGGGATGTTTAGGATTATATCGTAGAGTTCAAAAACTTTGTGAAATAAAACTGACTCCCCCCCGGCAGGTATAAGTTGTGTCCTGTTATTATGCTTTTTTGTTTTGTAGTGCCAGTCATCAACCGTTAGTTAAGTCCATAGCCAGATGATGAAAGTGATTAAAATGAAGTGTTTGTTTGGACAGAATGAAACACGAAAATGTACCCAAGAGTAGGAGGGAGTTCAGAGGCAGTATTAAACATTAGGACAATATTTGTTCGATTGTGTACGACTGATGTTGTTCATTAGTCTCATTTGTGCAGTGACCAAAAGCCAGGGTAATTTTGCATGTAGATTGTATGACTAAACAAGAGAGATTGCCAAACCCTGGTACACAGTTGGCTTAAAGATTGAAAAAGAGAATGTCTTTTGATATAATGGAACCAAGTGCTGGATTTAGGGTACTTGTAGCTCCAACCTCGAGCAGTCCCTGCCCCTTGGTGGAACTTCCTCAATGATTGCAGTGGAATCGTAAATTTGATTTTGTACAAAACACTGCAGCCCTAGGTCATAGCCTATAGTATAGTGCTTATAGTATAGTGGCTTAGTGGTAAATCCCTCACTGGGTGCCAGTTGTCTATGAATTACCTCTCATTTCCAAGCTTAACAGATGACCAGTTTGAGGTAAAATGGCTACTTACATACATGATCCTCTCCCATTCCGGTTATCTCCGGGTGTGGCTGTTCACATGGCCTCTCCATCTTCTTCTGTCCCTCCACAATTCTTCTTCCTCCACATACTGTCTCTGCACTCCTCTTGCTTCCACATCTCGTCTCACCTCTTCAATCCAACTTCTTTAGGTCTTTCTCTAGGAACTTCTCTTGGTCTTCTTCCGTTCATGTGAGGATCACTCATTTTTCCGGGGATTCTATCCCTTTCCATTGTTCTTAAGTGGCCAAACCATCTCAATCTTGATTTCTCTACTCGTTCTCTCAGACTTTCTTCAAATTTTCCTCTTATCTACTCTTCATTTCTAATTCTATTCTATCTGGGTTTCTCTTTAATACCTCTTACAAACTTCAGAACTGTAACATATTTAATGTGGTTAGTACCTGTTTATGTACCTATTTATGCCAATAATTTTATCTTTCCAAAAGAGAGGTACCGGAACTCTGTTCTGCCACGTTCCCCCTCAAATTGGGCACTGATTATCGGCATTTAATAAGTTCTGTATACATAAAATTTAGCAGTCTTTGGTATATCTTTATCCTAGACTAGCTGGATGTCTAGCACTTTGATAATATCCCGCACCTTTCCCCAGTCTAGCCTTTACCTCTTGTGGCTAAAAAAGTATAGAAATTAACAACTAACAATCAGTATTTTTAGACTTGATCCCTTAAAAAAAAATTTAATTAAGCTTCTAAATTATATTGGAATAATCTTTCATTTTCAGAGGTCCAGATAAAAACATGTCTGAAGATGAAGACCAGAAGTTAAAAAAACTGATGACTGAATGTGAAAGCTAATTCTTCCTCACAGTTACTGATAAGCAATACTCATGATAGGATCTTAGTATTACAAATACTCAATGTACAAGTAAAGTGTCAAAACCTTCTACTTAATTGAACTTGGTATTAAGACAATGTATAAGTTTAACCTTATGGTGCAATGGAGCATGCTTATGGAGGGCTCCTTAATTTTACTGCTCCTCTTCTAAGGTTATAACTTTCCAAAACTTTTATTCTGTGATACAAATAGTATTTTTAGGATCATAGTACTTAACCATTATAAATGGGGCTGTCTATGGTGTTGTGCTTTAGGTTATCAAGTCCTTTAAAATTTGAATAGACACAATACAACTATCATTCCTCCTAATTAAGTGTGATAGCTTTACCAGTTCATATGTGTTACGTGCAAAGATCAAATTTTGTAAATAATAGAATAATTACAATTTAATTTACATGTACTTAGTTTTTTGGTTATCAGTTGATAATTTAGTTTTATTTTTTGTTGTATTGATTAAACTTTTTGTTGATGAGAAGATTGATTACTTCTACAGCCTACTTTATGTTCCTAGTTCCTATTTATCACCCTAATTGCCTTACTAATAGATCAACAAAAATGTACTCTGTTTTCATAAGCTGAATATGAAAGCACGGTGATTAAGTAGAATGGAGAGATCTGTGAAGCTTTGTTACCGAGGTAGATAATTTGTTTATGTAGTAGCCAAAACCTTTTTTAAATTCCAAATGATCAAGTTTTCTACCATCAACCATTCACTTTCAAACCACGAAAAGCTCCTGACTTGCTCCAAACTATCCTGACTGCCCACTACCCCTATCTTATTGATTGATAATTGTAAATTCTTATGGAGTGAAAAACGGAAATACGTTTTCCAATACTCACACTGTGTTCATCAGGTAAGAAAAAAATTTTCTAAAAAGTACATAATTAGGTCATCATAACTTTGAAAATTTAGAAAGTTGGTGAAAGAGAAAGATTCCTGAAGAAATCCTTCTACACAAATGTCAATATGGGCATGGGAGTGCAGGAATTTATCAAGCACTAATCTGGTGAACTTAACTTGATTAGTTTATTTCAAACATAACATAATATGAACGAACATTTTCATAGTTCTGAACTGATTGACAAGTTTACATAAACAGTTTTTGTGACATTTAGACTAAACAAGTTTGAGTTGTTCTTGAAGCACTGTCGCTTGCTAAAGGCTTTTATGTCGAGTTCATCGTGATTTTGAACAGAAACTGAGAGTGATCATCATCAGCATACAAGCAAATTTTTCCAGGATTTACAACTGATGGAAGATCTTTGACAAAGATGAAAATAGCACTGGACTGATGGCTGACCCTTGAGGCACATCAGGGGCAGACTTTCAATGAGGTGAGCCCAAGCTACTTTCAATGAGGGTTTTCAGATACCCCAAGCTATGAAAGAACTCAGTCCCCACACTCAAGACGAGAATGATATCAAAGAGTAATGTTATATCCACCATATTGAAGGCCTTGGTCCAAATGCCCATATGTTCTCCTGCACCCAATGAATTTATTATACAAGACAAATCATTGCATCCATAGTGGATAAAAAAAAATCACATTGTTTTTCTGATTTTATTTTATTTTTATTTACAAAATTCCAATAGTCTTTCTTTTTAGTAGGCAAGGGATTAAACTACTGAAATTGATATAACTATACATTCTAAACTGATGCTAAAGTTCAAGCCAGTTTCTTTATCAAAATTGTGTTAATTGATGTGAGCTACCAATAGTGTGCTGGTGATTAACTGATTTCTTTTGAATACATAATCATTTTTACTAGGTCAAACTGATGATGACTCACGACTTATTGAGCTATAGCAACTAACTTTTATACCCCATCAACATGGTCAGCAACAAAAAACAAGGTAGAAAATAGAGTTTAAACACTAGCGCATTCCGTGACTGGCTCACTCAACTATCTTCTTTTTTAATAAAAAATTGGTGACAGGCAGTCCATATGGATGAGATATCTACCTACTTTAGTATCCAACAGTCAATGATGTGGGCATATTACCTTTTTGATTAATTGTAATGATGTTATAGCTATAGGTCTGTAGTTGTTGCAGATGAGGTGATCTCCTTTTCTGTGGAGTGGCTTGATCAAGGTCGTTTTCAGAGCATCTGAGAACTGGCCACATTCAAAAGAGGCATTTATTCAATTAGATACAGTGAAACATGATCTAGTGTTATGTTATGTTTCACATGATTCAGTGAAACATATTTTCACGGATTTAAAAATATTTACAGTTATCGGCTTATACATTTATGAAACAATAAAATTTACACTACTCAACAATAAAATTTCAATTGGCAACACAACCCATTCGTATAACACAAGAGCTCATCGTTTAGTTGAACAACACAAATTGGAATTTTTTAAAAAGAAAACCACTTACATGGGCAATTTATGTTTTCATAACCTCCCTCAAAATATTAAATCAGAGAAAACCCATAAAAGGTTGTTAAAATTACTTAAAGAATATCTAATTAAATCTGCTTTTTACTCTCTCCAAGACTTTATCTCATAACAACTTTATTTTTCTTGTAAATATATGATTTTTGTAACTCTCTCTCTCTCTCTGTCTCTATCCTCTTGTAGTTTTTGTAACTAATGTTTATTTTGTATCTTAAACATAATTTTTATTTAAAGGTTTCTTCTATGTATATATTGTAAATACTGTATGATGTGGGAAACTCAGTTACATGTGACGTAGTATGAAACTATTTTATATTATTTTACCTTATGTTGTATGACCTTATGTTATATTTACCTTATGTGTGACTCTATTCTTTGTAAATGTTACAAGAAACAGAATAAAGATGATATTGAATTGAATTGAATTGAATACTAAGATACTGGGTTGGATATGAGGTCTGCAACTTTTTTTAACAATTTGGGTGACATCTCACCTTTTTTGTTAGCCCACCGTTAGTTTTTTATCACTTCATGATCTGTTCAACTTCTGTTGATGGCATACTTTCAATACTGTAAAAAATCAAATACTTTTTACTACAGTCAACTGTAAAAGTGGACTTCCTTGCACGTATTGTAGTACAGAAAGTATCTAATTGCTGCATTTACTTATTTTTACCGGACGTACTCTTTTTTTGCCGCACACCAGTATTCCAACCAAACAACACAAAACAGCGTGCTGTTATTATGCACGCAATCCGTGTACGCTTGGCATCAACTACGATCAGCTGCATTTCGTTCAACGCTTGGATTTAACCACAACCTAACCTAAAACGTGTTGTTTAATGTTTGAAAGACTATTTTTTTCAATGATTTAGTGACTGTAAGAGAAATATAATGTGTAACACGAGTGCACAGTACCACTTCACACACTAGTTACACAAATAACTATTGCATTAGTACTTTTTAATTATTTGGAAGATTTTCTTTTAATCATATCCCAGATGAATTAACTCTGATAAATTTATTATTTCAAGAAACATTGCAAACCATTGCAACTTTTTTCAGACTTGCAAAACACAGCTGACGAAATTATAAAATAAAACAAAATCACAAGTTTCTAAATTACTCTCATCATGTACCCCAAAGTCTTCAGGTAGTCGTCAAGTTTGGTATTAATACAAGGAGTACAAAGTTTGTTCTAAAATGAATCTCCTTTTAAGCTAAATAAATCCCATAGAATGTCGTTCCCATGGGTCTTCTAGAGACAATTAATAATTTAAGAGTTATATTTCTGTCCGGTTAAAGCAGAGTAAGTATTTTGTTTACTATTTCGATTCTTGTTATTTACAACTTTGAAACGAATAAAGTCTACTTAAGAAGTCTAATAATTAGAATTGTATTATTGTATTGCTATAAGTCTTACTTAGTTAACTCTTCTTGTTCTATTTACAGTCAGTGGTAAAACCACGTATAAGAGCTTGTCATAAACAATTAATTGATTTGATTGTTAGCTGGTTAGTTGAAAACAGCTGATTGAAATGGCTTTAATACTTTTATTTGACGATTAAGCAAAATTTGGCAAATAATTTATACTACAATGATACTACTTTGGATAGTATTTTTTTGGAGATTATCCTTTGCTTGGGCTCTAACCTAGTAAAATAATCAGCAATTGATTGGAGTTTTTTTCACAAAGTTGAGTATGTACATTATTTGCTGGTAATACACAATGGTTTTCTTTTGCACTCTACATTTATAAAGTACTCCTTTACAGGCCAGTTATAAGCACATGTTATGCTTCTTTTGTTTTCATTTTCGTTGTTATTTCGTAACCATCATGGAAACTCATAAGCCCTTTTAAATTTTAAACATTTTCAAATAGGTTGTATAGAAAAATACGTTTTTCTGAGGTATAATAGTGTTTCAAACCGAAAATGTGTGGCCAAAAAGCAAGGGTTAGCATCGAATCCTAAACAGTTTGGAAATTAAAAGTAAATGTCTAATAAAAATTTAAAATTAATAGGGTTTCAAAATTTGTTTCTCTTGAAATTAGTTTTCCTTAAAAACAGAATCATGAAAATTCGTCAAGTAGTTGATTCACAATTTTATGTCAAAACCCCCTTTCACATTTTAATGTACCAGATAAGAGGTAATTTAAAGCATAAAGTAAAACCACTGCCTCCCTCTTGCAGAATGTTTTATCAATCTTCCAGCCAACAATCGTCGGATAGTTCAAGGCCTGACGCCTTCGTCCGCCAGTAGGCAGTTAGTTGGTCATACCTGGACAGTTGGTTTGTTGGGTATTGTTGGAGTAGGTCTCAGTCCATACCGCACCGCCGCGCTGCCCGCCTTCTCATTGTAACAGTGAGTAAATATATTTTGAGATTAAAGTTTATTTTTAAATAAATAATCCATAAATTGTATAGTGCAGTGAAACAACATGGGTTTTAAATTTACTACAGTACTGTAGATATGGAGTTAAATGCAAATTTTGATTTTTTTTTAGTATTATGGTTGTACTGTGATATTTTCTTAGTACTTAGATTATATTTATTTTAATAATAACTTACATTGGAGATATTGGCAATGAATAATGAAATGTATAACTAAACTTAAAAGTTCAAAAAAGCCAATACAAAATAAATCATTGTAATCCCCAAGCGCTTTCAAAAACTATGTTTCCGTCATCAGGCTGTGTTTATTTATTTTTTTTTTGTTTAATAAATAGTTTTGATTGAGTTTACTTAAAATGAGTTTTAATAATTAGTAATTCTATATTGGCTTTTTGTATCAGTTTAAACACAGCCTGATGATGGAAACGTAGTGTCTGAAAGCGCTTGTGGATTAAAATAATTTATTATATATTGGCTTTTTTGAACTTTTACGTTAAGTTATACATTTCATTATTTAAATAATGTTTAAGATTTTTCATTTTTTTAATAGTTTATAGGGGGTCTATTCATGATTTTTTTACGTTTTAAAAGAGAAAATTTATAATTAGCAATCGAGTTTATTCAGTTTCAACTGAAATTACGACCTTGTTTTTATATTAATTTTCATTGTAAGTAATTGTACCGAAATATTTTAATATTCTACCAATCTACACACATTTTTATGATTTTAAATGTTTAAAATGATTTAAAAGAACTAGGAAGAAACGATTTGGTGGTCATTTAATTTATTACATTGTTTGTTAACGTTTTGCTTAACATATTATTGTTATTTATATTCATAGTTTATTATTGATGGTACCGTTGAGCTTTTCCAAGGATATTTATCAGTGTTATTATGTTTAACATTGCTATAAATTGCTCATGAATTGCATGCTACTGGTTCAAATTGTTAACGCCATTTTAATGTATAACGTAACAATATTTTGAGTGCAGACAAACCATTTGTGGTGTATACAATTTTGTAAATAATTTAATGAAAATTATTGTGTAAAATTAATTCATCAATCATTAAGTTAATAAATTAAAATTCATTAATCATTGACATTAATCATTCAATTAATCAATTTAAATTAATTGTTTGTTTGATTATAAATTGATTACGGTATATTTAAATTTAGACGCAAAGCTTAGTGGAATTCGCTCAGTAAAATGGTGCGTTTCTGAAACACCTTTTGTCCATCAAATTTCAGTTTGTGTAATTACTAGATTTCCCTTTGTTTCTACCTTGTCCCTCAATTATAAAAAAAGGGGTAAAAGGGGTTGGGGGGGGGGGTTTCTTAAGGGGTTATTTGGCCTTCGAAAATTTCGTATCTGGTTCAATTTCACAGTTTTTAATTTATTCTCTTATTAACTTGTTTAACTTGTAAACAGTTAACTAATTAACTGTTTCTTATGTGAATAGAATAGTTTAGTGTATAAACATAAACAGAGTTTTACGACAATTTGTATACTCTATAATTACAATTTAATTTATTTAAAAATTTTATAAATTTTGTTGCTAAACATAATGCAATTGAACCGTGGTAATTTCCAGTATTTCACCTAAATTACTTTAATTTTTAATAATTAAACAAAGTGAAATTTGTTGTAGTTTATAAAATATCAGAATCGTTATAAATGAGTTCATCAATTTATTGTGTTTAACTTAGTATAAAGTGTAGCAATACTTTCACTAGAGACCATTTATTGTGCTCACATCTTTAATTAATATTGCAATAAAATCGTAGAGTAATATTTTCCCTTACTTAGCAATATTTTTTACTTGTAATTCACTAATAAATTAAATATATTAATTTATCACCAGTGAAAAAAAATTTTAAATTTTAAATAAAAAGTTAAGAATATAGTTCATAAAGTCTACTCATGCTTCAAAAGTAACAAACACAAAAATTACAATAAAAAAACATATTTTATTATTATAAATTAAACACTTATTATCCTACAAATACAATAAATCCAATTGCCTTAAATGTATTTGAGTTAACCTTAAGCATCCGTCGTCCATTTAACAAATCCTTAAAATAACAGACATTTTAAATGACCGCAAACACCGAACTAACACAACTAGCTCTATTGGATAATGATATAAACAGCGAGACCGGAAACATCAGTGCATATACACGGTAATAGAACCAGCTGTGGTTTGAGAGTACACCTTCCAAGCACGTGGACATCTGTTTTATTTAGAAAAGGGTAAGTTTTTTTTAATGTGAAGGTGAAGCAAAGAGTGAGTGGATAGAGTGAAAAAACTGATAAATGTAAGTGGCTGTACCAAGAAGCGAATGTATGGCATTGGCATTAATGTAACCATTACATTGGTTACAGTCCGGCAACTGAATTTGTCAGACTCTCCAATCATTGTTTAAATGTTTATAACAATACTGTATTACATTTTCCATACAGGAACAGGATAAGTATTGTTAAGTATACAATTCGAACTGCTCGTAGCTCGTAGTTTTTTTTTTCTTAAGAGGTACCTAATAGCTAAATCAAAGTATGCCTCTTCAGCAGTTCTTGAGATAACTCATAGACGCTGAGTCAGGCTGGCAAACATTGCACATTTTGGCTCTCAGGTGTTGCCAACCTTACAAAACATAACCTCAACTGCTTCACGAAGGTCAAGATAGGGAAAGCTGACAACAATAGTCTTCAGATGCAAATATGTCAGTGTCAGCGGTTGAAGAGATGAGTGTAGGATGAGTGGAACGATCTTGTAGTCTTGTTAGTGACTAAGTCCGACGTATTCCTTAGACACAGCTGTTAATTAATAGCACATACAGCTAATGGCAACTAAGGGACTACAGTTTATAGTGGAATCCGAACCACATTTTTTGCCTTGGTATTATAACGAATTGGTCTAATCAGCATAACACTGCGCATAGTCGTAGTACTCAGTAGTGCTGACATTAATCCACACCAGGGAGTATCGCATGCCTTTAAATATTCACAATTGATTTGAATTATTATATAACTCATAACCTTCAATTATTTGTTACAAAGGAAGCAATTGATACATACAACATGACAATGTAATTTAACAATGGGACAATCAGTTAAGTAATTTATTTTATCTCGAGCAATATAAACTCATCGTAAATCCTCCCGCGTTGCATTGTCTTTTATCAAACAATCGCTCTATCTTAGATTGCAATTTAGAGTACAGTGCATTGACGATAGGTGCACCAATAAGTAAACATTCTATTAACATGTTTTGTTGTAGTGTTAGAACATAAAGGCACATATAACACAACACAATAATTATCAAATAAATACCATAATAGTTCGATCCCGATTACCAAACTGACGAAAAACTTTGTAAACCTAAATGCAGCCAGCCCATTGCGTTTGAGGTTATGATTATGTGCAACCGTTGACCACAAGATAGTGGTTACAAACCATACCAGGCACAATAAACTGTGCTTGTGTCGACATAGTTGCTACGAAGTGTACAGCGAAAAGTATCAACAAGTATTTTTAAGTAATCATAGAAACAACTGAATCCAAACAGCATAGACAGTTCGTTTTGTTACATTTTAGATTAACATTAAACAATGTTGGGGTTGTCTAGTCGTCTAGTCTGCTTTAAAAAGATAACCATGTTTACTTTAGCTTCTAGATATAGTTCTTCTTCGTATTTGTATGTTATGTTTACAATCATCGTTCACTCTATCACCCTACATTTTAAATCTTAAATCAAACGTTTTGATCATTTATATTTCGCTATAGAATCAATTTTTAGATAATTTAGGCCAAAATAAATGTTTAATAGGAAAAATAACAAAGAACCTTGAAATAAACCTTGCAAGCACTTTGAATAAAGACGTACTACACTTCTTGATAAAACCCTTATTAATATTAAACCAAATCTAAAAAAAATTAAAAATTGTAGAACAAAGTGTAAATTGAAATACAATGGTTCAAAAATTATTTTACCAACATAAGAGCTACGAATTGTCATGAAATTTCATGCCAACTGTTTAAATAGGCTAGATTTACGTCACAAAGACAAAGCTGTTTTTACTAAAATCCATTAAATGTCTGTATTGTAATTATTAGTTGGCTCGGCAGTACAATGGACTAGATATTTATTCGATATCGTTTGGTTGTGTTAAACAATGCATGTCATAATTTATGTACATTTTCTTGTGTTAATAGCTTCGAGTGTGAATTTAAATACTTACAATTTTTGCTTATTGTGAGATTCGTTTGTGTCCTCCATTTTAACAGATTTTTATAAGTAAGTAAAAATTAAATTGTACTAAAACATAAAAAAATAACAACTAGTAAAACACTTACGTTAGGGGGACAAGTGGGGTTAGGAATTTAACCTTTTATCTAGAATTAATTTTACCATTTACAAGTTTAGTGAATGTAAACTTGTAAGATCTTTGTAGTACAATACAATAAGAACTACTGTAAAACTAGCGTGGTAGTTTCGAGTGGCCGCCGTATGTAGGGCAAAAGGCTGCAAATTCACAGACTTTTACTCTTATACATTATTTTTTCATAACCAAAAACCCTTGTAAAAACTATCACATGAATTGTTTTTAGTACCACATAACTATGTATGATAACGTATTGTAAGTGAGCTATCACCGAGGGAAGGAGCGTATTTGACTGTTGATATGATATAAAAGATGCTGGTTTACAATACAATAGTTTGACTAAGCTATCAACTTTGTGTAAATAACCGAAGTCAGTAAAATCGACAAAAGCACAATCTGTTGGTGGCCATACTGCGTTCATTTTATTTAAAACCAGCTGGGTGATTGAGTGGTTATAGTACTCACCTGACAATCAAAAGGTTGCCGGATCGATATTAAAAAGTCCGAACTTTTTTATGGTTCGAAACTGGACCCAGCTGTCCGTGATCTTAAGAAAATAATCCTGACTGATGAAACAGCTGATTTC